TGGCTCGCGAGGGGCACGGTGGGAGCCTGGCGCTCCATGGCTGGCCATGGACGTCCCTCACGGGGAATGATTTTAGGCCTTTCAGCTGCCGTATGCTTGTGACCATTTATTTGCCGAGAAGCCTGGAAACACTGTCCTTTGGACGGCAGCTCCATGGCTCCTGTCAGGGTCCAGCCGTCCACGAAGTGCTTTTAATGTCTGGTAAATAAGTAATCGGTGGGTGGGAATTGGGTTATTGGGTGACTCCGTTTCCTCCCCCTCCCCTTAAAATAACAAAGTATCCACCAAAACTCCAGCCTTTTCTGCCCTGAATAAGTCATCGGTGAGGACAGAGCCCGAAGGCTTAACTTGATGCAACTTGATTTGAACCCTTGGAGCAAAGGTGGACGGTGGGACTGGGACCTCTACGGCAGGGTCAGGATGGAGGCACAGAAGTGCTGCTGACCTCAGCATTTGCAAGGATGGGGAGCAGGGCTGCGGCTGGAGCCGGGAAATTTCCCGAGTGCCGAGCTCCCATTGATTTCCGTCTGGCTTAAATCAAGTCTGAAAACCAGATTGCTGGAGACCATCCTTAGCTGCCTTAGTCCCTTGTGCCCGTCCTTGCTTTTGGGTTTAAATCAGAAGCTTGTTTAAGGCATCTGTTTTAACATTTGGTCTTGTTCATCTAACCCCTCCTGCGTGCTGTAGCACAATGCCTTGATGTGTTTTTTTAACATGATGCAACGTGGCACAGAGGCCTCCGGGAGGGCCAGGCTGCCTAAAAGAGTGGAGCTGCCTGTTGGGAAAGGGGTCGTAGCCGGCATTATCCAAAGAAGTTGTGGCAGGGACATGCTGGAGAGGTTTGAACACATTTGGCCAAGCACATGGGTGGGAATCTTTTTGACAAGGGTAAAACAGGATTGATACAGGCTGGGATTTTGGAGAGTCGGGATCCGTCCCTTTGCTCTGCCTGAATCAGAGAAATCCAGGATGGCCAAGATCGCTTCAAGGCAGGGGCTCGAGTTTGGGTCTCCCCAGTCATAGACCATCACTTCATTGTCTTCTTCCAACCCGTATGCCTTAGGCTGAGCCCAGAACAGGCATTTTGACGGGGTTATGACTTGAGAAAGCTCTGGACGGAGGTGTCACTTTTATTCCAGCACAGATTGCAACTTCAAACCCTCTGGCACGGAGGGCAATCCTTTGAGCTGGAATTGTCACTTTGCCCCCAGCTCTGGTGGCACAAACTGCTGTCTGCTGCCTCTCCCCCGGGTTTCCCCGCAGCCCGACGCCCCTGTGAAGTCAGCCCCATCTTCAGAGGACGGTGCGCGGTGAGACCGTGCCTGTGAATGCAGGTGAATTATCCACGCACCTCTGCTGAAAGGTGCTCTGCCCGTGGTGCAAGGGTTGCAGAGAGTGTCCCGCTGCAATTGCTAGCCGGGGTAGATGAAAGAGATGCGTTGGCTTGGCTGGTAATAAAGCACAATCTCTTTTCCCCTCTCTTTGCTTAGCCACATTGGGAACGCTGGAGTTCAGCTTGCTGTATGACCAGGATAACAGCTCTCTGCAGTGCACTCTCATCAAAGCCAAAGTAAGTGCCTCCTCGAAGGGGACGACTGCCCATTGCTTTGATCTTCTGGCAGCATCTGATGCAGGATGGTACGCACCAGCTTGCTCTACATGCATGAGGCAGCCTCTTCCCTTGGGAAAGCATGTTTCAGAGGCTCTCACCTTTATTTTCACACACTTCCTGGCAACCAGCCTGGTTTTCAACGAAGCAGGCACAATGAAGAAGCCAGCTCCACCTTCTGCTCCTGAGTCTCCTGGGCTGGAGACCCAGACGCAGACAGGTACATTTAACCTGCATTTCTGTAGGGACCGGGGAACGGAAAGGACATGTCTTTTCCTTAAGGATGACTTGCAAGATTGTCCGTCCTCCCGGCTCACAGCAGATGTGGGAGGAATTTGGCCTGAGGTGGGCGCACACTTTAAAGGTATCTCATGGCTCAAACAAAACGACTGGTTCCAGAGACACGCAGCAACAGCCCCTGCCTTTGGCATCAGTAGCAGGGCACGTCCCTGCGGGGCTGCTGCTCTAGGAAGTACGTGTGATCCCCCCTTCTGCCATGCAGCAAGAGGCTTTCAGGAGCAAGTGGGGCAAGCAGCAGGGCTTGGCCTCGGTCTGCCTGCTGATAGTGGCAAGTGGTCCAGCTGGGACCTTCCCCTGGGATAAGTCAGTCCCTGGCATCGTTATAACTTGCCGTTTGTCACGAGCTTGAGCATCTTTTGCGTGTAACTGCTACAGAAAAGAGGGCTGCAAAGAATACCTAAGTTAGTCGATGTAGGGCTATTAGGTCCCTGAAATGCCCCCAGGGAGGTAGGCAGCTGACAGTGTGGTGTGCCTCTCTGGTCAGAGATGTCTTTAGGGGGCACCTGAGAGAAAGCGGGTGAGTATTACCTGCCGCGTTTCAGCCGATAATGGAAACTTCAGCCCGTTTCCGAGGTCCCACGTGCCAGGAACTAGCATCATGCATTTGCCCTCAGCCATAATGCAGTCTCTTGATGTCGGCTCTGGATAGGTGTGCCTCTGAGACCCACGGGCCGCTGTAATTACCTGCCTGTTTGCTCAGCATAATTGATTTCCCACAGCCACCTCGGGGGTTTATCAAGGTTTCCTCTGCCTGGGGGCCGTGGGTTGATTATAGCAACTGCAACTATAACAGTCGCTTGACTCCCACGGCAAATAACGGTGGGGCTTCGGTCCATCTCCTTTATCCACTGGCAGTGGGTCCTGGGACGGAGACTTTGCCAACCAAGTGGGCACCTCCCATAGCAGATAAGCAAAGACTTCAGCCCTTTCCTCCCATCATTCATGCTAGCAGGGTTCCAGTCGCCTGCCACCATGGCTCATAACCCCAAGCGAGAGCTGCAATATTTAGCTGCCACTGGGTGCTTAGGCAGTGCAACCTCAGGCTCAAAGCAATGTCTGACCATGCCTTAAAACTCGGCCTTCGCTGCAGAGCGGACACAGCCGGAAAAGCTCTGAGTTTAACAGGACGGGCTCCCGTCAGAAGGCAGATCTCGGTGCGGTACCTACCGCTAGTCATCAGGGATAACATACTGTGCTTGTAGTGCTAGGGCAGGTCTCATTGGGTTACACACGGTACACCACACTGACTCTACGTATCATCTTATGGGCTATGTCGTGGGAGAGGGAATCCCTTAAGCACGAGCTCTGACACTCACCCTTTTCCCGTGTCCCGCGGCGGTGAAGCGGGTCACATAGGCATGCCGCACAAAGGAAACAGCACCACAAACTCAGAAGCAGTAAGTGCCACAGCTCAAGCCCTGATGTCTCGAGAGCAGCTGGCACTCGGGCATTTACTTCCAGGGGATGGCGTCTCGGAGGGCAGGTGCCCAGCACTTCCACAAGACCCGGTGCCGTTCAGGGCACAGGCAACCATTCTTATACGCTCAAAAGCACAGACGTGGTGTTACAGCCTGGCTGTGCCCCGTAGGACCCCAGTGGCTCTCACTGCGGGTAATAGGGATTATTCCAGTCCTGCAGCGGGGGCGTATTGACATTCGCATTTCCCACCTGCTGTCAGGAGAATTGCATCAATTCCCCCACCCCCAGAGGCCACTTATTCCCATTCTCACATGAGTAAGTGGCAGCGAAGGGTGCAGATTCATCCAATTTTGAAAAGGTCACCAGGCATTTCCGGGCTGTGCATCATTTCATGCAGTGCCCCCGCTCCCCGTGGCTTCCCGTGCTTTGGAAGAGCTCTGCCTTCATAAGTTTGCAGGAACTACTGTCTGGGTGAGCTGGGAGGTGCGGAGAGAGGTCTTTCCTCTTGCCAGCTGCAAGGCGCATGCCTTGGGCCAGCTCTTCAGCACCCAGGACCCTCTTGTGTGGAGGCAAACCCTCTGTCCATATGGGACGTGGCTTTGTTGTTTTGCTGGACAAGATTCGGGGAGAATGTGAGCATATCTGTTGAGTCCATTGTGGGTTTCAAGATGCATCGTATGAGCTGACTCCGATTTGCACTTGGATCTTGTGCATTGTTATTCAGAACAAACAGTGCTGTTCCTTCCCACCCATTATCTGCTGCCTCTGTTAATCTATACTGCATAAAGCATTGCCGCTAAATGCTCCCCCATGCTGCATTTAATAGTGACTCAAACCCTGTGTTATCTTTGTTGTCTTTTAGGGCTTAAAACCAATGGACTCCAATGGCTTGGCTGATCCCTATGTCAAACTGCACCTCTTACCGGGAGCCAGTAAGGTAACACCGTGCTTGATTGCGTTATGGTTGAAACTAGGGATGAAAACATAGCTGCTTTAGGTCAGAGATTTTTTTTCACAAGCCCTCTCAGGCACTGCAATGCCCAGTCCGCATGAAAACAAGTGGGAACTGGCTCTCCAGATCCTGGTGGTAGGTTTGGAAATCCCAGCATCCAGGCCTTAGCAATATTTTACAGGGTGAGAGAAGCCTATCAAGCGGCGTCTGCTCTGGTCCCGTAATTGTGCAGAAGAACTGAACCCAAGCAACCCCCCTCTGTCTTCACTCAGCAGCTTGCACTAGTTTTTCTGCACTGATCTCTGCCTGCAGCTGGGAACCTGCATCAGAGATGGTCCAAAACATGCGGCGGCAAGCAGCACTCACGACTCCAGTATCTCTTATGGTGGACACTGCTTATAGACCCTGTGCAGCCCACACTGCAATACGAGACGCGTGAGCTGCAGGAGCTCGCTCGAGATGAGCCACACTTAACATGCTGCTATTTTCTGGCCTTCTCAAGAGTTCACGAGGACTTTCTAGGGGCGCTTCCCACCCAGACGTGACCTAGTGCCTTCTCCTATCCGTTGAAATCACTGGGTCTATTTCTGCAGCAAATGCTGTGGCTGTAAAGAGATCAGAATTTGTGTAACCTGGAAGGGAAGCAGGCAGGGCGCTCAAAAACAAGGCGGCCTGCGTTAATGCACCGGCGTGGCCCGACGTTGAGAGAGGGCGTCGTTTCTGGTTCTGCCGGTTTCCAGCAGCTCTGAAGAACTGAGCGTTGCACGGGCCGTACTGAGAGATTAAAATCTAGTTCATGAGCACGGAGGGACTTCAGAGAAGGTGACATTGTTAGTGCAATGCAAAACATCTGACACACAATCTAATTATTACCGGAGTCTGAAAGATCAATTTACTTTGAAGTTACTGCGCGTTCTAATTAGAGCTGTGAAAAATATCCATCGAGTGAGTAAACTCCGGGTTTTTTTCCCCTCTTCAAAGAAAGCTTTGTAAACTCTCACTCCCAGGACCAGCAAAATTAAATTCAGCGGAGAAAACTTGTAGGAAGAAACGAACGCTGTTGGCCTACTGCCGAAAAAAATAGATCTCCTCTGTTTGCTCTGGGGATTCAAGGCTTTTATCTTTCCCTGCCTGAGTTTTGCTTAGAGCCAACGTGAAGCCCCAAAGCCTCTAACAATAATGGTGATAAAGAAAGTTTCGTTTACTTTTCCTCCTGTACTTTGGGCTCAACATCCTTCTGGCCACCTGACTCCCAGATCACGAACGCACAGGAAATCCAGCAGACAGGCTCCGTCCCTCGTGTAAATGCAGGGTTGGCTATGGCTGGGTCTACGCTGCAGTCACAGAGGAGACTGCAGTGGAGTGCAAAGAAGCAGGACCAATCAGCCTGATCTGTGCTGCTGCAGATCGACTGCTCCCGGTGCCCCGGCTCCTCTACGCTGTGCTGCAGTTCCTTTGGCCACTGCTTTGTAGACATGCCCTGTGACCCCAGTGTTTCCTGTTCTTCTTTGTTTCTCATCATCTTTCCCTGGTTTTGCAAAGAAGACCTCCCTTCAGCAGGGAATAGTTGGCTTTAGGTGGCTCTGTTAATCCAGGGAGTCGTTTTTTACACAGCAGGGGCTCTGCTTTTGCTCAGCCCAATGTGCTCCCTTAGCATCTAGGAGTGCCACTTCTCCCATGGGTCAGGTATCCAGGTTGCAGCTGTATTGGTCGTATATAGAGACATACATATATAGAGGCCGTGCATAAGGGAAAAGGAATCAGACCTCGTGGGAGAGGTGGTATCTTGTATTAGACCAACTAGATTTTTGCAAAAAAAAAATTCTTTAATTGCAATTTTTTTTTTTTTTTTTTGCAAAAATCTAGTTGGTCTAATACAAGATACCACCTCTCCCACTTCTCCCATGGAGCATGAGAGGACTCCCACTTTGCTAGCTGGAGAACAATTCTATTTTCTGTTTTTGCCAAGGGACAGAGGCACAAGAAAGTTCCCACCCTGAAGGCATGCACTTCCCTGAACCTACTGCAATCATTCCCCAAAGGACTGTATACTCCTACCATGGGGTAAAACCCTTCTCCAGTCCTCTGAGGAAGGGGAATGTGTTTAGGTTGAATTTTGATCTTAAGTGAGACCACAAGTTGAATGGAGATTTTGGGCTACAGACTTTGTTGGAAACAAAAGGACATAAAGGTATTAGGTGTGGTCCTGGAGGAAGCTCTGTGGGTCAGCGGACGCAGCAAACGTGGTGGGTTTGAGTAGAGAGGGCTCATGCCAGGAAAGGTCACCGCACGGTTGGGTCAAGCTCTTCCTTGTCGGCAGGGTGGGTGACTGCCCTGTGTTTTTATTCTTTACGTGCAACAGTCGAACAAATTGAGGACCAAGACTCTGCGTAACACGCGGAACCCGGTGTGGAACGAGACGCTGGTGTATCACGGCATCACGGATGAGGACATGCAAAGGAAGACACTCAGGCAAGTGGAGGACAAAACCCCGGTGTCTTATAATGCACAGTGTGTAAGGGAGGAAGCCTTTTAAAGGAGGGAGAATTTCACCCCAGAGCTCCCAAACCCAATTACCCTTGCAAACACTCACGTGATGGGTCAGGGATAGATCTGGCCAAAATTGTTCTGCCGGCAGAAAAAAAGGATGGTTTGTCAACATCAAAGCTTTTCACATCAATATGTTGATTTTTGATGAATCATTTTGATGAAGGAAAACTGTCATATATTTCATCCAGCATTTCAACTTGGTCATTTAATTTGGATTTTTGCCTTATCACATTAAGGTGACTGTTTTATTTGCCCCAACGCTGTAATATAATGCGTCAGCCTTATTGTAGCAAAGGACTGCATGTCCTCATATACAATGCACAGTTCCCTCCCCCCCGCTTCCAAATCCAGCTGCTGGAAATTGGCTTGTGCGTTATAAGTGAGGACATGCAGCCGCAGGAGTTTCTGCCTCTGCTACAGTGCTGCAGGTCTCGAGCTGCTGGCTACGGACACTCACTCTTTTCTCCGGCACGTTAGATGGTTGGGAACTGTGATCTTTTGAAATTGCTGTTCTGCGGGGACTGCCCAAATGTGGCCTTGATCTTCTGATTCAGAAGACTGTTCAGGAGGTCAGAACTTCTCATAAGAGGGAACTTCCAGGTTTCTTGGACCCCGGCACTGAGGTGGAAGCCGCTAGATATGGCAGGGACCTTAGGTGTGACTTTGCTTTCTACCTCCCCGCAGGCTTTGCTTTCTAAAGTGTAACGTGGAAACAGGAGAGGTGTCCCGTGGACAAGCCCTCCACACTCCCACAAGTGTCGGGCGGCAATGGTGTTTTTGCAAGGGAGGTTGTGCTAGTCTGAGCTGGGTCACTCTCTGAGCCATTCAGTATTAAAGTCTCTCTTTCCTGTTCTGTTCAGGATCTCTGTGTGTGATGAAGACAAGTTTGGCCACAATGAATTTATTGGTGAAACAAGATTTTCTCTGAAGAAACTCAAACCCAACCAGAAGAAGAACTTCAACATCTGCTTGGAGAGAGTAATACCGGTAAGATTCGTGAAGCCCTGTTACGCCGGGTGATGATCTAGCACACATTAGGCTTCGGGGTGAAGGTGTATTTGCGACTCAAGTGGCTACATCTGATCCTCACAGATATTTGGGTGCCTAATTCCCTCTGAAATAAATGGGAGTGAGGCTCCTAAACACCTTTGAGCACCTGGGCCCTATGAATGTCAAGGTCTCTGAGGAGTTGTTCACAATCACAGAAGCCGGTCCCTGATCTCAGTCCCAGCCATGTCAGTTCAAAATAACTTCACCGGTGACCATCACTGGCATAAGAACTTGGCCCGACGCGTGTCCTAGGCACAGACGTGATGTGGCAGCTCCTCAGTGCGTTTTGTCCCGCAGACTAATGCATCTCTATTTTAGAAGCTGTTAAAAAGACAAAGCTTCGTAGTGATGCAGATGGAGGAAACGTTTGGTTTCCGGCCCGCGTGCTGGCCCCGAGAGGCCGTGCTGATTCTGCGGGAGGCGGCTGAGCTCCATTGTGACAGCTGCATCTTCCTTGTGCCGTGTCCGCGCTGTGCTTTGATGGGCATTACTTCTCTTGCTGCTCCTGAGGCATGAACACAGCATCAACCTGTTGTTCCTTTGACCCACAGCAGCAGAGCAATTGTTGCAAACCCGGAGCCGTGGGGGCACGTACACGCTGCACAAACACCCCGAGTGAGGCTGTAGTCGAGCTGGCTGGGATTTTGGGGGGGCAAGAACAGAAACTTTCTATGGAAATGGATTGATTCTGGGGGAAGGGTTTGCTGAGATGGGTTCGGAGGTCCCTGATTAGGAGAGAGCGGCAGCATAACGGCACAGACTAGCCTGCAGCCTGGCAGATGGATGTCCCGCTAGGATCATTGGACACCTGGATTCAAGTCCCCTGTTTGTCTGATTTGAAGGTGGGATTTGAAACCACATCTCAACATCCTGGCTGAGTGCCCCGACTGCCGGGTTATTGTCTTGTCTGGGGGAGCTTGTTCTCGCTTTCACGTGAACGATTTCAAAGATCATTTTATACTCCAAGACACAATGACCAAAACTCCTCCAAAACCCTAAAAAATAATTCATGGATTGCAATTCTCTTTTTTCCAACCAGCCCTCAGCGTGTAGCTGCCTGTCTCCTTCACAAATATGAATGTTAATACTTTGCTGGTGTCTTTAGCGTTGGTTCTTGCAATAAATTAATTTACAGGAAGGCCTAGAGAGGCACCATGTGCCCCTGGAGACCTCTGAAAGCTTATGGGAATGAATTCCTGTCGGGATGTTCCCCATTTCCACCTTTGGAGATCAGTGCCACATGTGGGTTTGACACATGGGCGGCCAGCAGCTGCCTCCTCCAGCCTGGGCAGTCATTAAAGCAGAGCTTTCCAAACTTTTCATGTTGGTGACACACTTTTTAGACGCATCATTTCGCGACACAGTAATTCAGTTCCGGGGGAAGGGCCAAGGGAAGCAGACGCGAGTAAGGGAGCTCCGCGGTGCCCTTCCGCAAAATTTTCTGCATTTCGCGCGACACACCTACACACTGCCACCGACACGCTAATGTGTCGCGGCACACAGTTTGGAAAGCTCTGCATTAAAGGAAACCTTTGTCTTTGTTCCTTCCTACCCCCAGATGAAACGTGCTGGGACAACCGGCTCGGCGCGTGGGATGGCGCTATATGAAGAAGAGGTAAGAGGCTGCACTGTCCTCACCCGTGCTGGCTCTGGGTTGCCAGGGGGCTGCATTTGCCCTCCTCATGGTGCTTGTGAGCCAGCAGTGATGCTTTCCAGCTCTGATCCTGAGGCTTTATGGCTGCTGGTTACACGGAGAGGGCAGCGATGGGGTGAAGCTCACCTCAGGACCGTTCTGCTTTTCTGTGCTGAGCCATGGGAGCGAGGAACACCTCTGCGCTCAGACCCAGCCACCCTGGGGTGGGACCCAAGGTCATTCCTGGGACCCAGGTCTCGCCCTTGGGAACTACCCAAGTCAGTGGGGGTAGTGGGTATGTCTGTCTGCATAGATCCAGTCGAACCATGGAGATGTTGCTGAATCAGAAATGAGTTTCTTTGAATACTTGGCAGAGCTGGAAGACTCCAGCTGCCCCCCACCCCACCTGTATCCTCCCTGCCATGAAAGCCACTGCTTTTGCATTTCAAATGTCAAGTGATAAGTGGGAAGGGTTAGCAAATGGCTATCGATTGATCAGTTCGCTCCAGGCGACTCTGTGACTTCGGAACGAGGGAATGTTTCTTGCGAGATCTCTCTCCCCTTTCTGCCTCTAGCACATCTGCTTGCAAAATGAGCTTTGTGATTTTAGCCTTGTTCCAACCTGAAATGGAGAATGAAGCTTGCAATGTATGAAGATCGGTGGAGCAAAGCTAGCTACAATAGTCCTGAATGGGGCCTGCTGAGCTTACACCTGTCTCTGCCGAGCTCAAGCTTTTAAAGCTTTATCAAATAGAGAAAAGATGACAATACCAACAAGTACCAGAATAACTGCAGCAGGTTTTCCCGCATGTTACAGTCCTAGGTTTTTAAGCGCTGCCTTCCTCTGCAGTCTCTTTTTGCAGCCATTAAAAGCTTTTTCTGGGTTCGTTTCCTCTTTCCTATGCATTGCACAGTGCTGTCCCAGCCTGCTGGATTCCCAGCTGGGGGCCTGTCTCGTAGCCAGGGCCCAGATCCCCAGTCCTTGCTCAGGCCTCTGGCTTCCTCTTGCAGGTAGAGCGTGGCAGTGAAGTGGATGAGCGAGGCAAGATCCTGGTGTCTCTCATGTACAGCACCCAGCAGGGTCGCCTGATCGTCGGCATCGTACGCTGCGTGCACCTGGCCGCGATGGATGCTAACGGGTACTCGGACCCCTTCGTCAAACTGTGAGTGGAAGCAGAAGGGTGCCAGCATTCAGGAGGACACATGTGCTGTGCTGGCTTATAGCACAGACACTGTCACGTAGTGCTGGAAGATGCCGCCTCTGTTTGGAGCTAGGAATATCACTGCCCAAGCCAGAGCAAAGCACAGCAATGGGTGGGTGAGATGCGTTATGTTCAGTTTTGTCCTAAACCAGCAGCCTCGCCAGCTTAATTGCAACCGTGGGATCTTTGGGTTGGCGGGGACGTGGTGTGTCAGCCTGTCTAACACGGCACTGCCCTCCATACGCTATATGTATGTCTGGTGGCCATAGAGATAGATCTACGCTGCAGTCATCCCAGTAGCCCCAGCATACGTGAGCTAGCTTGGCCCTACCCAGGTCTGGCACCAAGAGCTGTGGCATTGTGGGTTCAATGTGAGCTTGAGGATCTACTTGAGATGCAGGCCAATATAGCCCACACTGAGCCCCGTGCAGCCCCAGCTAGAGTGCTGCCTGCACCCGGCTCACTCAGGTCTGCCCACACGACGGGGCCGTGGCTGCGGTGTCAGAGACGTGCTCCAGGAGAGAAACAGATGCACACACCCTTTCGATGCATATCACACCAGGGGCTTCCAAGATTTCCTTCTGATTTTTGACTCCATGAGGCACCTCAGTATAAAACAGCTGTAACAGAGAGGAGGAGGAGACACGAAATAGCAGGGCCCATCTCTTCTGACAAAGGTGTGAGCTGTAGCCATCGAGTCATCTTGCCATTAGCTGTGGGGGGGGGCATGGCAGGTGCCTGTGGGACTTGCACTGCAGCCCCACTGCCTGGGTTCAGACTCGCACGCTGGATTAGCACAGAGCCACCAGTGCATCCGGTGAATGAATGCAGACGCGGGGGTTGCTGCACTTCACATCGGCAACGCCTCAGTGCCTCTTGAAGTGCCTGAGCTGTTTAATGGTCGCTCAGCCTCTGCAGTGGCGATGGTTACACCGTGCTGCAAGAGGCAGGGAGAAGAGTGCTAGCGGTTCACAACCCGGCTAAGGCGCAAGGGCAGGTGACATGGGAGTGCATTGCAAACCAAGAAGAGGTTAAGCTCTTGCCTTTTCCAACCAGACCTGGCCTATAAACCTGCTCCAGATATTCCCCACATGGTCATGTCCTGTATCACTGCAGTAATGATGCTTCCCCCCCCAAAATGAAAATGAAAACCAGCAGTAACTCCTATCTGCAGTGATAGTCACCTTTTTTTGTGTGTCTGGGTTGATATTTTTTCCTCCAGTGTTTTGCTACTTGTTCTCCTCCCTTGCTTCGACCGGTAGAAGATGGAGTTTTCTTTGTTATGGTATCCAAATTAACTTTCAGTGAGGATTTAATTATGACCAACCGTACGATTTAGTTGTGGGTTTGGGACTGGACTGCTAACGTAGAGCTTCTAATCCTTTCCACACTTTATAAATAAAATTACCTTGTTCAGCTTGCTTATCCGTGCTTCGTTAAATGCCAATGGATTATCTTTACTATTTTTACGTAAATCTCTCCAGCCCAGTTGCTGGTTGCACTCTCAGTGTTGAAATGCTCAGCAGGAGAGGCACAATGGAGTAGCTTGCCATTAAGGTTGGGAGTCTGGGTGGGCGCTGTATAGTAATAAGGAATCTGTCTACTCATTTTCAGTGCCTTGAGTCTTGTAGCTCATAGAGCTCAACAGCACGAGTCAAACTCTTTTTGATTAAACACGTAGTTCAGATTGGGCCCGTTTTGCATTTTAATATGCCTGTAGCCATTTCTGTTATAATTGCCTTTTCCGTTAAAGTGCCTGGTGAGAAATGCGCAGTGCAAATAAAATGAATGACTGCAAGCGCTCACATGAGCTCGCTGTGCAGCAGAAGCCGGGGCTAAGATCCAAGCGGTGGGTCTGCTCACTATGCGAGGTAGGGTGGAAAGACAAGCTTGAAAAGCGTATGCTAAGTGCACCACTTGTAGGGAGATTTCTGCTGAGTCCGGTGCTCAGTGCTAAATGAACCTCTGTAGTGTTAGACTGGAGTCTGGCAATTTTATAATCGAGTGTATTCACTCATTTTGTGATTGCGGTATAGATGTAGCTTCCTCGGCTATTGTACTTCCAGCCCAGGAACCCCTTTTTGTAGCTTGTGAGCTGGTTCCTTTCATTCATTTAAATTTCTAAGATGCTTTATGTTGCTCCTAGTTGGCTGAAGCCCGACATGGGGAAAAAGGCCAAGCATAAGACGCAGATTAAAAAGAAAACCTTGAATCCTGAATTTAACGAGGTAAGCACAGACATACGGGCGTATTTTTAATGGGCCACGCTATTATATCTCGCTGTGTATGAGGATCTGAAGGTGAACTCGACAAGCTGCAGTTGCTCTTTCACACTCTTTGCTTTCTTCAAACTGTTTGGGGATCTTTTGGAAATGAATGAGGACAAAGTTAATTAAAGCCTGAGAGTCAGGATCTGGGCTAGTTCAGCTTCTAATTTCCAGCTTCATCTTCTTGATAAGGAAGACATATGCATGCTTAGTTGATCACAAGAATTTAGTATCCTCTGTGAACAAGAAAGAGCGATTTCAATAATTCAGCCCCAGACACTGTAGATATGTGGTGGGACAACATTGGCGAGGAACAGACCGAGAAGCTGCTGCCACCCTTTAATTGCTTCTCACTGTAGCCTCCTACTACTGGATGGAGTCATGTTCAAAGCTTCTTGGGCACACTACAGGCAGTCTGGATGATGATGACGTAGTAAAAGGTCCAATGAGAACACCTGAACTCAGACCCAAGATGTTTGCCCTCCCATGGGACTTGGTCTAGCTAAGGGCACTGCAGCCTTGTCTCCTGTTGGCTTTGATAAGAGCTGGGGGTACCCAGCTCCTTTCCAATCTGGGTCTCATGTGGCTTTTGTCCAGTCTGCATGATTGCTTTTGTAAGGCAGCACTATCTGCTTGGCCGTTCTGGAGCTGTGGGCGACCGCTCGGTGAGCGGAGCGGGGAGAGCTGGGCACCAGGCCTCTGGGGTTGACCCCCTGGCTCTGCTGCGTCCGCGCCAGTCCGTGTGTCTGCATCACTCCTGGCCTAGTTCTCAACTTCCCATTGACTTCAGTGCTAGTGATGCCATGCTCAGCACCACGATACGGCATGCTTTTGGCCCTTCCTGGGTCAGTGTGTCTGTAAATAGCCTAAATATCCCCGTGAGAGGTGAGGAGTGAGCAGAGTCCTGATCCTCCACACCCTCTCGACTGTACTAGCGGGACAGTCATAAAAGTTACACCGTCCCCAGAGAGGGGAGATTGCCACCCACACTCTGGCTGCTTGTGTTTCTGTCTCCCTCACATGACAGGAGGGGCCTGGGCAGCATTTTAAGGGTAAGATAGATGCAAACATTGCTTGTGTATTTGTGAAGTGCATTTGGACCTGAGGTCTTTGCCGCTGCAGCTGTGTGGAGCGCAGTTCCTGCTGGCATGCAGTTCAGTGTCCATGATGCCGGGACGTTTCTTGACATCCATTAACAGTGTGTCCTTGTGTTTCCTCTGCAAGCTGCGTTCTGGGCATGAATCTTAGCACTTTGTCCTTTTTCCAGGAGTTCTTCTATGACATAAAACACAGCGACCTGGCCAAGAAGTCGCTGGACATATCGGTCTGGGATTACGATATCGGCAAGTCTAATGATTACATTGGTGAGTGGAAGGTTTCCCGCCTTCGGGATGATTCGTGGGAAGCTCGTGCTCTCTCGGCAAACCCTTTGAGGTCACCCACAGCATCTCGTCATGGGGCTGGGGGGCTAAATCTCAGGACTGACCGCAATCGGCCTGCTCTGCTTGTAAGCTTGGCAATGGTCAGGCTTCTGGGCCTGACTCCAAACTGCAGGCACTTCTGCTTGGAAGGGCGCGAGATTTGGCGTATGGGTGCATCCCTCCCTTATAGCAGCTCTCTTTAAACGTTTGATGCCTTCAGTGCTTTTAAATGACTCTGCAATGCCGTGCCCTGAGCTCATCTTCGGTGCTTGCAAATGTAAGGAATTCCCTTGCTCAGCTGCAAGGCAGGATGGGCTGGGCAGAGGCTGTGATGCATGACTGCACCATGCCATCACACGGCAGACCTGGGGGCAGGAGCGAGCCCTGTGGACTCTACCCGGTGTTAACTGTGGGATCCCACAAGGTCTCTGGACGTAGTCTCTGGACCCCCAGGGCTCCATGGACCACAGGCTGAAAATCACTGGCCTAGACGGTCTGAGAGGGAGGGGTGGGTGGAGGTCCTATCAGGGGGGTTTGGGCATCCGTGCCTGTTGGTCGGTGCTACGTTATTTTTGCATGAAGCTTTAAATTGTGGGGGCAGGAATACAGGGAAGCCTAGCATCATCTTGAAATATCCTGTCTGCTTCCTTCCTTCCAGGTGGGTGCCAGTTGGGCATCACTGCCAAGGGAGAGCGCTTGAAACACTGGTACGAGTGTTTGAAGAACAAGGATCAGAAAATTGAGCGCTGGCACACACTACAGAACGAGAACCACGTTGCAAGCGATTAGGAGTCTCTCGCCTTCCCCCCCGCACAAGTCTCTCATGAATCCCCCCGCTCTCCTGCCAGCTCACTGTAGATCCCCCGCGTCTGTCCTCCAACACATCCGCGCCTTGCGTGCGCATCCTTGGATCTCCTTGACGCCAGCGTTCGCTTTGTTCATCATCCCCCTTCCAAAAAAACACCCCGATCTTCTTTTACAGGCAAATCCAGCTTTCTTTTTTTTTTTCCCCCTGACCACTGATGCATACTTCTGTCAAGCAATAGCCCCGTGCTGAGCATTTCCATTTGTCTCTTGTTTCTCACTAGTCTCACACGCGTCGTACAATGATTGCCTTTTCTCCTTGCTGAAAATACTTGCTTCTTGAGGTGTTGATCCACCTGGGCACGCATTGCTCCGTCCTCACTTTTACCCAAGTCTTTCATTTGTATTTCTGCATGTGTCCACCTCCTTCCCCTCCTCCATATGTTCTCTGTGTAAACTGAAGTCCTTTTGGCATCCGTTCTGGTCTGGAGGGCTCGCAGTCACGGAGCCTACTGTATTATACGGCTTTCAGCACTGAGCGTGGTTGAAAGCTGGTGTCACAACACTGGACGGTCCTGTTCACCTGATCTCGATACCTCGGTTGCAATAAGGAACAAGGTGGTTCTGCTTTGGTTTTGTTAGAAACATCACTAAGGAACTGCATTTTCACCGTCAGGCCCGCAGAGGTAACCCTGAGAGTACTAGCAATTTGGGCGATGGGTACATTTTAGCAGTGTTGTAGCGCTAGCAAATTGTGTGGCACATGCTTTTGAGTTTCCACAGGAAGGATCCTGCAGTATTATGTCACTTAAACAAAACCCCCAAACCTGCAAATACAGATGCACAATCATCTGGGAAACAAGAGAGATCTGGCTTTACTGGACTTTGCTTTTTTTTTTTTCCCAGATGCAATTAATGTTAGAGCTAGAAATGTTCCCACTCGCTTCTCACCCCCTTCTTTTCGACTCGCGACTACCTCCCACCCACTCCATGATATAGCAACTAAATGCACGCTGAGGGCAGAACTGGTGATGCCCGCGTGGGGTCGTATTTTCTGTTCCATCGTGATTTTGGATGGGCTCGTCTCACTGTGCCGCACGGAGGAGGGAAGCAGAAGGGGAACCGTTTCCCAAAGAGCTGATGCATTCAAACATTATCTCTCTTTCTTTTCAAATATCACAATTAATGAAAATACCCTGGACAGGTAGAGGTCTTCCAGCTTCATTTTTTGTTTTTTTCCATCCTGATGGGCTTCTTTGTATTATGCACAAAAGAAGCATTTTTTTTTCTTTAACCCGTGCTTAATTTATTGTCTGCAGCTGTTTTATTTCATATCAACAAAGGGAGAGTCAACAAGCTCTTGAATTGATATTGATGTTTTTTATACCCTTCCGAGGCCCCTCTGTTTTGTACGACCTTCAAGTGCAGCACTGGCGACGTTAGCACAAGACGTACAAGTGGAAAACACGGTCAGTCCGCGACAGACTCAGCATGTCAAACAGAGCCGAAAACCTCTGTCCTCGCTGTCGTCCCGCACCGCCGCCTCCGGCGCCCCGTCGCTCTAGTCTCTGCCGTGCTGGTTTCTGTGCGGTGTGTCCTGAAGTTGCGCTGCTCCTGGGAATTCATTAGGTTCGGGTGTATTTATTTTTTTTACTTTGATGGATTATTTTCCTCTCCTAGACTTTTTTTTTTTTTCAGTGGGGTTTAATAGTCCTAGGAATTTGCTATGAACATCTTTCTATAGCTGTAACTTCCACGGCTAGAGGGAAAGCCGGTCCTCTATCCCGCATGGGCTGTCACCATCCTGTTTCGCCTGCGGCGTGCTCTTCTCAGCAGACTCGAGGCTCCTTCTCCGGGACTGGATCGGTTCCCTGGCTTCCCTGTGTCGCAGGCTGCGGGTGCAAGTCCCCGGGTGTTTGGGAAGAGCATCGCTCAATGGGATAACCTCTGTCGTTACCCGTCACGACGCTGTGGGCTCTGTGCATGATGTCTTTAAGCTGCTGTTATGGTTTATGGATTGTTTCTTGTCCTCTCGTGTAGTGCGATTCTTTTCTGCTTTTAAGCACATTGGTGTGTATCGTTACCGGGAGCGTTGGCTCCTGTCTTAATTTAAATGTCTCTGGGACAAAATCTAGATGAGTACTCTCTCTCTCTCTCTCTCTCTCTCGTGCAAGCTCTCTCGCTGTCTTTCCTCAAGGTTAAGAACGATCAATATTGTTTGCCTTGTTCTGTGAATGCCAACGAAGGCCCGCTGCTCCCATCTCTCAAATCCTGCAGTCTGCTCTTGCTCTGCCCTGGTCCCCAACCAGCCCTGCAACCACGCCGAGCGCTGTGGGCACCATCGCCCTTAGCAGTCCCTGTCTGCCGGAGGAGCCGTGCCTCTGCGGGAAGCTGAATTTCCCCTGCCTGTGACCAACCCCAAGCCACGGGTCGGGGGATCGCTGCTCTCAATCAAACCCCCGCAGCGCACAACAGTCGATGACGGTCGCATTAGGAGGCGCCGGGTGTCCCGTGGTCTTCAAACCCGTGGCTCCTTCTGTGATGGCCTGGACAAACCCTCCAGTTGTGTGCCCCTTCCCGTGGACTTTGTAGCCAAGCAAGCTGCTCGTTTCTCTTGCTTGCTGGCGGGTGGTGTATTAGCCAGGCCTTCAATGATGCAGGTGAGCATGAGGGGCAGCTTTCTGCTCAAGGATATCTCCACCGCGTTATTTTCCCTTTTTTTTGCATTGGCAACTGTTCCTTTTGGCCCTGCTCTTCCATGTTACTGCCTCCTTTTCCTCCTCTGAGAGATTTTCGTAGGCCACAGCTAGGAAAAATGAATGCAACCTGGCATGAACTCCATTCACAATGATAATAATCAGAGTAACCTCCAGCAGCAGGGCACCCCTTCCTCCCTCCCCATCTCCCTTCCTCTCCAGAGCATCTTCTGTATCTGGGGCACTTATTTATTCACTCAAGACACCTAGAGGGACATTCGCAAAGGGCATGATGGACCCTGTGTTCGCTGAAACTTTAAAGGATCCTGGGTGTTGTCCTCTTCCATCCCTAATAGCTCTCCTGGAGTCTGGCACTGATCAAAATTGAATTCAAAAGCCCCAAGTTATGTCCATCACAGTTGACCTGGGCTGAGGATGGAAACTAGAATTGTTCTTTTTTTCTCTATTTTCTGGTCCTGGTCGGATTTTGCCTTCTCCCTACCATCGTGCCATCGTTGTGAGCGGTTCGTTCAACCGCTCACTTCTGAAGTTCCCTAAGTCTTCTGAAATAGGTACGTCCTTCTCCTCCAGCCCATCCTTCCTTCCCCAGCTTCCAGATTTGATGCAGGTTTTGCCATTTTACCCGAGAGAGACGAAAAAACCGACTGCAACCGGGGCTGACTTGTCAAACTTGGAAATAATGCAGCATTCATTTGAGAACGGAAATGGCCAGAGGTGTTCACGTGACCTCCCTTGGCCCTGCCAATCCAAGCACTCTTCACGCAGGGTGAAAATCAGGTTCACAGTTTATAGCGGCATAGCATGAGGTTTTACATGTTTTCTTCTAGCATTTACAGCATGCTTAGAAATGGCACAGTACTTCTAAGGTGCGATGGTGCGAACTCGGAATGGGGACGCTCCTTCCAAATAGAACAATACTGAAAAATATCGGCAAAAAAAGCCAATCAAGCAATGCTTTCCCTTTTTAAAGTTCCCCAGCGGCTGCGGCGCCTGCTTTATATAAAGGCACAGAACAAGCAAACAAAGGTTGACTTGACCGTGGCAACTTCTCACCATCTCCTCTCTTGACAGGCTCGACTCGTCTGCTTTACTTCTGAAGGAATTCTGTTCGAGCCGTGTCCTTGCTCAAAAACAAAACCAAATCGCCATTTCCAACACCACTTTCTGAGTAGTGTGTCTCTCTCATCCAGCATCTCCATCCGCCCCGTAGTTTCCTCTGACTTTCTGTTGGCAATCTGTGACCTGAACTATTTTCTTTCCCTTGTAAATAAAGCATGCACTTAGAGATCAGGAATGGTGCATACGCCTCTTCTACCAGTGTTTGCAGTCTAACTCGCATGCAGTGATTTTACAGGCAAAAATACCAGTTTACAACTATTAAAAGGAAAAAAAAATGTAACACAGGAACTAGAACTACAACAGTCTTCCGCTGCATGTAATACCGACATCTTCTCTCGTCATGTGATAGCCAATAAAGTAAAACTATTGAAAGACAAGCACGTTTCTGGGTTTTCTTCTTAAGATAACACAAGTTCACAGAAGGAGAGTGCACCGGGAGGGACAAAACGGTGAAACCTGCGGCCGGCACGAATCGGTGTTGCTACCTTGATTTCACAGGAGCTGTGCTGGTTTAGATCAGGAGAACTATCTCGAAGGATGGGAACCTGTGGGCTTGTTCACTGCATGCTCAGTAAAATGCCCCGTGTTTGCGGAACAGGTGTGGGCCAGAAAACAGTTGCATGTATTTTCTTGCATACCACGGCCAGCTTTATTTCGAAGAATCTGCTACTAGGAATTTGAGTGCGCATGACATGAGAAATACGGCAAGAAATTGCTGACCCTTTCCAGGCAAAGCTGAAAGCAAAATCTGCTGCAGGCTTGTAGGGAGCAGAGCAAGGAGTATTTGGTTTCCTGGCGGGTGCTACTCAGTGGGCGCGTCTACACGTGTGCATTTACTGCGCAGTACGGGCACGCGTCTACATGTGCACGCCTGTACTGTGCAGTAAATATGGCAACTTACACCGACTTGAGCGTAAATTTGATACCGCATCATGCAGGTATCAGATTTACGGCTGGTTAGTTACTGCGCAGTAGCACATGTGTAGATGTCTTACTGCGCAGTAACACTGCGTGCGGACTGACTTGGGAGGGCTAACTTTAGTCCCAAATCACTCCACGCACAGCGTTAATGTGCTTTAATAAAGCCTGCACATGTAGACAGCAGCCTAGTCCCGCTTTCTGCGTGGTAACTTACTGCGCAGTAAATTTAAGCCGGCGTAAATGCACGTATAGATGCACCCAGTTACTACAAGGTAAGATCTTTTCTCCTTTATTCATTTCTCCTTCATTCATTTCCACTGGGGAAAATCAGGAGTAATGGCCACAAACTCCTGGACAATCGTTTCAGGCTTAATGCTAGGAAAAACGTCTTCATAGTCAGGGTGTCCAGACTGTGCAATAAGCTCCCTCCAGAGATGGTGCAATTACCGACCCTGGAAATCTTCGAGAGGAGACCGGACGGTCACCTCGCCGGGTCACCTGACCCCAGCAGTCTTTCCTGCCTGGTGCAGGGGGCTGGACCTGATGCTCTACAAGGGCCCTTCCAGTCCCTGGCAATCTATGAATCGATTCTGCCTCTCAAAAACAAGGTGCCTGTTGTAATCTGAGGCCCATTGTATGTAGGAAAATATGGTAATCTGCTCAGAGGATGGGTTA